CCCCCCCCCATTTGTTAATCCTTCATAGTATAAAATGAGAATAAACATCTTCTAAACCTTCAGAAATGTCCGACAAAACTTCTGCATTTTATCGGTTATCTCAGAATTGTTCTTTTAATTTTAGTCATTTGTATTACTAGAGAATGGCACAGATTTTCTCTCCCTCTCTGATTTGTCTACTGAAATGCTTAATATAGTGAAAASAGGGCAACTTACCCTTACCAAACCTGCCTCAGATGTAGGCCCAAGAATGGAAGCGTTTGTTTTATCAAAATCCTTTGCCAAACTAAAACAGAATAAAAACAAAGTAACATTGCTTGAGATGTTAAGATCTTAAGCACGACTGATAAAAGTCCTTAAAACTTGGTAACTTACTTGGGGTTCTTGAGGGGTTTTGCAACTTCAGCATGAACTCTGATTCCATCAATATATAAAGGGTTGGGTTTAGTGAGGAGCTCAACCAGGCGTGTCACTTGCTACAAAAGAAAATGATGTTTTGTGCTGAACAAAGTACAAAGCGAGAAATTCTGAACTCAATACAAAGACAAAAACTTTAAAACAGCTAACTGGGAAAAGTTACCTCATGGGAGTCCATGTCAACAAAGCAGAAGCACTTGGTTCCAGGTGGCTTTGCCTTCACAAGACGAACATTTCTTTCATCCAGATAGGCAAATGGATCCAAAGCTTTCAAGACACTCTCCACGGTGGTGACRCGCTTCAAGTTCTTTAATATCATGGCTGTAAAAAGGCATGAGGAAATTAGTAAACGGTAAGAATCTGTAGTTTATAGTTTAAAATATATATGAAGAGTTGATGTACTTTTGCTTTCAGCGAAAACAGATTTGAGGTTATGAAAGCTCTGATTGCTGTTCACAGATTCTCGCTGTTGCTCCATGTCTTTTTCTTGCTGGTGTTTGTCTACCTGCTGCTGCCAGGCCTCTGGAGTCAGGTTAGAACAACGCTGCCACTGACCATGGGATAGCGGCTCCACAGGACAATTTTGGTTTGACCCAACTGGTACTTCTGAAGGTCCATCTGATCTGTGTAACTGAGAGTCCTGAGGTTGAGGTACTTTGTGATGTGATTCCTGTTTTAAAAAGGGGGAAAGAGAAGTACAGTAAAGTAAAACTATTGAAAAAGTGTAAGATAAGGTAAAGGGTAAACATGTAAAAATTTAGTACAACAGTCTTTTATTCAAGTTCAGGCCACATGCCAAATAGAATATTTTCCAAAACTCGTGCTTTAYCTTATTTCCTAAAACAGTCATTTACTTGTTGTTTTGCAATTTTTAAATGGTGTTTATTTATTTATTCATCCTTTTTTCTCTAGCTATAAACACAATCTTGCTCTCTTATCATACTTACATAAACTTCTCTTTCATAATCATCAGGCTGGATATACTTTGTGGATGCCACTCTAGTGCCAAGATTTAGGGAACCCTGTAAAAGAAAAAACACAACGGTTAAGATTGTTCCAAATTAGTGAAGCTAAACTAAGACCAATCACGACCAACATGGACAAAGGCAGGTTTAGCCACAACCCTTGACTGTTCTGGGTAAAATGGCCCAGCACTTATGGTAGGTAGTGTGTTAAGTCCAGGTTCGTGGTCCTGACACACATCGACCTTTTGCGTCCATCCTAAAATCATTTGAAGGAAGCTACCCTTCAGGGCTAATTATTTTTAATATGATTTACCTAAAAATTGCAGTACCAGCTAATCAAATAAATGTTTGTATTCACCAGCTAAAGGTCAAGAGTGGCCATGTGAAACTTATTGTTATTAATTCAATAACAAAAACTATAACAAAGAAAAAAGCTTAACTAAACTAAAAACCTGAACTAAAGACATGGTCAATGAATGTTACAGAAGTCAATGATACATTTTATTTTGTGCCATCAGTAAATAGGCTATAATCTATTGATCTATCTGCGGTTTTAGCTATTGTTTTTCTTTCAGAAAGATTTGGCTTTTGCTTTATGACAAATGCCCTTCCTGACACAACCTGGGTTTAAACCTGCAGCTTCAAGATTACAAGACCACCAAGCTACCACGGATCCTAACTAAAGTATTAGAAATATGATCTCATTTTGAAAAAAAAAGGACCAACTATTGCCTGAGATTGGCACACTTCACGCACTGCCCTCATGAAGAACCTGCTTCTGCCACAAGACCACATCTGCACCAAAAAGGAATACTGTTTACCTGCACCTTATCCAAAACTACCATAGAGGTTTTTGAATGTTGATTGGTTGTACCAAAACTGAGTAAGTTCTCTATATATTTGATTGACAAAACAATTGACACTAATAAAACAAAACAAAACTAAAAAAAAAAAAAAACAATTGCAATCACTAACAAGAGCTTAGGACCCAGTTGTCATATTCCAAGCAAATGACCAGCATTTTGTCAAAGTGACCAACAAGCACCATAAAGTATAACCAGTTTCCAATAAAGGCTAAACGAACCATCTACAAAAAACTTGGCTGAYGTTGATTGCGTTGAACTAGCCAAAGGGTAAACTGTTTAAAGTGATGCAAGCAAACTAAGTTAAGCTCAAAACTAAATTAAAAAGCTCTGCCAACTTTAAGAACCAACGAAAGTATTTTATTTCAGGAAACAAAAAATGAAAGATGAAAGAACCAGTGAAACATTTCGCAACAAAAGGAAAAGTGTAGAATCTAGAAAAGTTAAAAACCACAAAATAGCAGCCACACCGAACGCTTTAAGTGGTTAAGCTCACTTAAAAAAAAGGAAAGAGATGAAGTCTGATGATCAGTTCCCCATATTAAAAAAATGCAACACATCTGTCACACATTGATGTTAAGTACCGCAAATAACTAAAATGTAAAAGTTATCCAGGCAACAACTATTTCGGAATAAATACAAAAGAAAAAAAACTATCTTTCTATACATCCCAAGATTATGGGAAAAACAGTTAACCTAGATTATATAGAGTTCAACCAGATTAAATCAGAATAGAATAGCAATGTATCCAAATCTTCAATTTACATGAAAATATTAAAAAGCCAAGACATCTTCTCAGTCATGTTCCATTTAATCATCATCTTCTTCTTCTTTCAACTGTTCAGGGTCACCACAGCGAGTCATCGTCCTCCATCTCACTCTGTATCTCTGCATCCAATGTCCTCACTCCAACTAAGTTTGGATAAACTTGTTTGTTTTGGCAAATATTGATCATGCTGGACGTCCTTCCTGGTGCAGCCCTCACCATTTAGCCAGGCTTGAGAGCGTCACTAAAGGCACACTAGATTGTGCTCCCTAGTGGTTGCCTTTTGTTCCATCTAATCAAGGTTATTGATGAAAAAAGAAAAAAAAAAAGAAGGCGAGACATCCTTCTGAAGCCGGCTTTGATCTCTTTCTGTAATTCACAAACCAATAAGAGAAAGTTCAGCACTGTGTTGATATGTGCTTTTACACAGTGAACCAGTAATCATGTTTTCATCCAATTTTAATGTGAATTTTGAGCGAATTTTTAAAATTTCGCAAAAAGGAAAAAAACTAAGAAATGCGAATCAGACGTGTTTCCATCAAGTGGCTTGAAGCGAATCAGTTACGTCAGACGCATGCGTGTAATAAACAGGAAGTAAAAGTCGCACCTCAGGAAAATGGAGAGAAGTTATCAGGAACGTGTTGCTACTATCGGGAAAATTGTAATTATTCTGTCATCAACTAGTTTTGGCGATTTTACATGTGGTCGGGAGACGTAGAGAAAGAAATGCAATTCTTTTCACGTTACGGGATTAACTGAGAATACGCCATCAGCGGGAGGAGGGTCCGGCTGCAGTCGCTCTGGTACCGGTACCGGTTTCGGACAGACAGCGGGAACACCTAATCAACATGTGAGGTAAATGTTCGCTACATCAGAACTTATTCGGCTAATGTGTTTCCATCTCTCCTTTTGCGCATTAACTCTTTTTCAGAAAAAAAAAACACCTCAAGTGAGCATATCAGCTTTGATGCGGATTAGAGGAAGTTTTTTCGAATCATGCCATTTCCATCCACCTTTTCTGATGAGATACTTCAAAATGCACATTAAAAGACCTTGATGGAAACACGGCTAGTGTCACAGATTCAGCAGCGTGACAATGCACCACTCACAAAACCCCACCCCATCACAACTACCTTCTATTCCAAGACCTACATGGAACTGAGACTCTGAGGGGTATTATCAGCGGACCAACCCCAACACCCATTCAGCTTWGGTATTTTCACACGATACTGAAGAGCAAGAAAAATATAACTGCCTTATCTTAAGCAGCAATGCTTGTAAGGAGCTTTTGTTTTTACAGTATCACTTTACACTACCAAAGAACAAGAACGCAAAGAAAATATTAAGGAAAATACAGCTTAATAGCAAACGGGATCATTTTAACCCACAAAAACTGACAAGCTAAACATACCCGAACCATTCAATGCAGGATTTTCAGAAACCTACAATCAGACCACACCTCGGTTTTTGGAATGGAGCCAGTCTAGTTGGATAGTGTCATCACCCTAAAATACTGTTTTTAAACTGTGCTAAAACAATACTGGATGAGAGTTCACATCTGTACCCGCCATAAAAATGTGAAAATGTACAAAAATATATTTTTAAAATATTGCAAGTTTTGCAACCATCCTTCAAATTATTTTGTTCCATAAATGAAATCCAGACAATACAGATATTGGTAGAGTATAGCAATTCCATTGTCAAAAATCAATATTCTTCAACCAATGTGAAAACTTCTAAAGAGATGGGACTTTTTCACTAAGTTTTGTTTATTTTAATCTAGAAAAAAAAAAACCTATTCTCCACAAATGTTTTGCCCACATTTTGGGTGTTTTTTTAATCCAAATTCTAAAATGTAAGAGATCATAAATATGTGAGAAGCCTGCTATTCTCAAATTGTGTACATGAAGTTTAAAATCATTGTTTTCTTAAGCTTAAAACAAGGTTTCAAGGTGAAATACTTTAAACAGATAATTAGAAAATATTAGGACTAGGACTAACAGAGCAAATGTGTCAACAACGGACTGATGTTTTTCCCCTCAAACAAGTTCAGTTAAACCCATTCCCATATTCTTGCCCAACCCCTTCTACTGAGAGCCCCCTTAACCCCTCGAAATCCTGATGGGAGAGACGGCCTTCTTAGAGTGACGAGGATGGGCCACCTTGTTGGACTCCATGAAGTAGACTGCATCCTTGAGGTTTAAAAACTCCACATAGGCCATATCGTAGCTGTAACCTGGGGACAGCATTTGAAATACAGATAATTTTTTGTTAGTCAGTGCCAGCAATGACAGTAACCTAGAGGTAAAAAAATAAAAATGACATTTGTAAAAACATCGAGGTCAGTGCGAGTACACATTTTGTACACCTCTACTGAAACACAAACCTTTTTAGGAAAACATTTTCCTTATTTTTCTAGTAATTAAAGCAGCAAGTGATAATGTATCAAACTTCACCGTGAATGAAAGGCTTTGATTGCTAAGCCTTGGCAGTCACTTATCCCCAGACCATGGGTAGTGAACATTTGAGTGGTGTCCACTACAAAAATTTACGTTTATTTTTATTCAAAGCTTCACTTTTGATGTTGTTTGGACATATTTGAGAAAGAAAAAAGATGGCTTTTGCGGCACATTCTCCTCATGTGAACAGCAAAGAAAACTGAGAGGGACTTTCACTTTACAGCAGATGTTTATATAAGCAGAACGAACAAAGAGATACCAAGGCGGTTTCCATTCCCCATTTTGTGATTTATTTTTCGCTGGAGGTAAAGGACAAATTTACCATGTCACTTGTCATGAATCTTTTGTTACCAATGCTATAAATATCACTCCAAAAGCTGTACTAAATCCTCTAAGTGCTGACCTCAATGACCACTCATCCTAAGACTTTGTAAAAATGAATGGAAGAATACAAACCCCCCACCACCACCACCACCACCCTTCATCTTCACTGAGCGAGTTCACACTCAACCAACACAAGCAAGCAACAATGTAAAAAAACAAATAAAATGCGGCGGTTCGAATGTCGTCGTAGCGAAATATCGAGGGACAGGTTAGCGATCGATTGCCCCAAACACATTCACAAAAACTCTTACTTCTTACCTGGAACAATATCTTTGATTTTAATCCCCTGCATTGGCACACCATCACGGACTGCAAAGGAACTGAGAATCTACAAGAGGCAATATTAATCCATGTCAGTTATACCAAACAACTAATAGGATCGACACACTCTGTATTAAAAAAACAAAGCTCATTTTACCTGATTCACTGTGGTAGTCTTTGGAATACCAGATATGGATATAATATTTGAAACTTTGCTCTTCACTGATGCATTTCTGTAATCTTGATCCTTGTAGAGAATGGTCATAATAAAATAAACCATAAACACTACTTCAAGTAATGTTTAGAGAACTGAAAATTGTAAAACTTCACAAACCTGTGTAGCAGAATCTGTGAATGCTGAAGGGGTGACTGATTTAGAGTCCTTGAGAAGTTTCTCTACTGATGGAAGTTCTTCGTGTTGGTAGTCAAACATTCTTGCAGATCCCATCCTGTAATCGATGTCCCTATAGTCCTGATCCTTTGCTTCTAAWGTGCCGCTTCTTTGGAAATTAGGTTCATTTCCAAAATCATCCCTAGAAGTAACTTGATCACATGAGACATTTTTCATCTCTTTAAAGGAATCACCAGGGTCTTGAATCACACATGACAACTCTTTTATTGGACGAAAAGGGGAACTTTCATCATGATTTGGTTTATTGTAAACATATTTTGGATCCCTTTCATCAGGCCACTTTTTGTTATCTCTATCCAGCTGAATTGGGGGTTTTATTTCCAGGGGTAGATGGTGTTGTGGACTCTTGCTACCAACTGGTGGTAGATCCATTGCAGTGAAGTGGTCACCAGAAGTAAAACTAGCATCATCTCCTTGGAAGCCAGCAGGTGGTTTATTCCTGTCATGAAATGGATCCATGAAAGTGTTCTTGTTCTTACGACAAGTCTTCCACTCTTCAGCAAGAGTCATCTCTTCACCACTTCGATAATCCATAACAGGACTACCACCTGACTCTGGATACTGTCTGTTACTGACACAGTCTTCTGAATCCCTAAACCCTGACTGCCGAGGACTGACAACATCTGATCTTTCCCTATCCGCTGAAGGGTCATCACTTTTTCCAAATCTTATAGGAGACCGATCTCTACTTTTAAACTCAACTGGTGGTACAGGTCTGTTTCTAAAATCCACATCAGAATCAAATCTACTTCTTGGATTGAAAAGGGGCTCTTCTCTTCTATCAAAATCTATCATTCTCCTTTCACGAGGAGTGAAGTCCATATTAAAGCGATCAGCATCATGGACACCCATTAGATGTCTATCATGCATTTCCCTATATCCATAATTTGGTTCCATTTGATCCATTGGAAAGCTTCTTTGATCATCAAAATTAGGTCTGCTGAATCGTGGCATGTCCCTATGAAATGACTCTCTGTCTCGCGTGTCCAATGATCTGTTGTCTGATTCCCATGGAGACATATCCCTACCTCCCATGTCTACTACATTCCTGCCAGGTCCTGGAAAATCAGAGGTATTAATCATTGTTTCTCTAATGGAAATTTCAACATGCCTCCTAAATCTGAAATCGGTTTCTTCTCCAGGTCTGAAAAGATCTTGGTTTGATTCTCTTCCCCGCATATCTCGTGGATCCATATCATGTCCCCACATGGGTGGCCCATCCATCCTCCTCCTGTCCATAGGATGTAAACCTTGATGCATTGGTTCCATGGGACCCATGTTCATCCCATCTCTGCCTCTAAAACCTCGCATTGGATGATCATGGCCACCAAACATCTCTCCTCGTTGATCACCACTGAAATGCATATTGATATATTAGCCCAATGAATTGCACACAGGACAACAAGATAGGACTGGGATAATTTATAAATTGAGATTACTCTCTTGTTTAAACACAGCATATTACGTTGCCAGCACTCACACTGGGACAGGGGCACAACAATGTACAACATTTACAAGAATGTCAGTAAGATGATAAAAAAGCACCTGCATGTAGTCTGTGATCTAAAACAGACTCAAAGTTTGTGCATACCAACAACCAAATAACGGCTAAAAGCTAATAACCACACAAAATGATTAGCTTGAATTATTACAACTAGACAATTAGGGCTGGGTTAAGAAATGGATTTATTCGATCTGGATCGATTTTCTTTCAGATTTGAGAAAATCGATTCATAAGTCATGAGATCGATTTTTCCCCATGGGTGTTGTGTGCGATGAAGCTGCATGTTTCCATGTTGTGCGTCACTCCTGGCTTGCTGTAGGTTCAGTTGACGTTCAGCGCTAACGTTAGCTCCCGACAAGAAGTTGTCTGGGGCATAACAAAAGAAACGAAGGAATCACCAACATTACCAGCTGATTCTCAGCAGAACTTAAAGGTAACAGAGGCCATGACAACTTTTGTTAGCAAAGATTTGCGCTCGGACCCGGTAACGGGAAACGAAGCGGGCTTCAAGCAGCTCAAAACAAAACTACGGTATGTAAACATTTGACTGAAACGGTTCTCCCCGGCATGTATAAATGTGTGAAAGATGACAGCTTAACAGAATTGTTTAGTTTTGTTAACAATGTTATTTTTAAATTTAAGAAACATCTTAATGTAATTTTTTCTTTCTTCTTGTTAATAAGTTTTATTGAACAGAAGGTAACAGAAACATTACAAATATAAAATTTTCATACACTCAAGAGTATACAGAAGTATACACTTCTATTATCCCACCTCTTCTCCTGTAACCTTATTCCCATCACTTCTTAGTGATCAAGAAAATTATTCTTAAATTTTTTTTAAAAAACTAATGTATCCAACAACACTTTCTCTTGCTATTCCTTTTTAGTTTAAACCTTTTGAAACTTGAGACAGTTTTGTCTCAAGATTAAACTCCAATTTACAAGTTTTCCCTTAATGTTTATAATTTTACCAATGCACCAAGTTAGAATTAGTTTATACTATTTACAGAATTACTTCCTTTGAGAATGTCTTCTATATCAAAATAAATGTGTCACTGCTTGACATCCTTCACTAATTTAAATATCAATCAAATTGAATCGTGAATCATCATGAATMGTGAATCGAATCGGGCCCCTGTGAATCGAATAGATTTGGGAAATCTGAATTGATACCCAGCCCTATAGACCATTGCGCAACAACCTTACCAGGTCAAGTTTCAAGTAAGAAGAAAAGTTATGATCTTAGAATGAAGTTTTCTTTCTTTTTTCATGTAAAATAAATGCAAACAATCAGGGTAGTTTCACTCAATGGCCCCATCATGATTATGTGATGACATTCCTTTGTTCTTCATACTCAACCAATCTGATCTTCAACACAATGTTATTTATGACTGCAAAAATAGTCAATTTCTTGAGTCATTGTCCTTATTTATAACTGAATATTTCATAACTCAGGTAACACCACAAGTGTTTCTAAAATGTCTGGGTCTAAAAACTAGACCTGAGAATATACATAACATTTAACCTGTGTGCCTTTATCCCCAGAAAATATAGATTTCTCTCCACAGTTAGTTTATCTTAGACTGTTTACATAACATTACATTACATAAAAAGGGTCCTGAAGCATCACAATAATCCAGATTTTGTTATGTGGTGTCAGAAKTCCTATTTGAAATTAAATGTCTCAAAAACTAAAGATATGTGTATAGATTTTAGGAAGAAGTCCAGTCCAGCACCCTTAGTTCGCATTAAACGCGAACGTGTGGAGTGTTCAGTCCTATAAATATTTAATTGTCATTGACAAGAAGCTGTCATTTGGTGAAAATCTGGATAAGGTTAATAAAACAGCTAATCAGAGACTGCATTTCCTACACAAATTAAATAAGTTTGGAGTGTGCAAAAGATTGATGACTATTTTTTTATAACTCACTGATTGAATCTGTCCTCACTTTTGCTTTTATCACCTGGTTTGGCAGTTTGACAGTAGGAGACGAGAACAGGCTTAAACAAATTGCAAAAGTAGCCAGCAAAATTATAGGAGTTATATTAACWGATCTAACAGAAACCTTTTTAAAGAGAGTCCTACAAAAATATCCACTCTCCAAATCACCCACTTCATGGGGAATTTGAACTCCTACCATCTGGAAAGASACTTAAGACAACCCACATCAAGAGCCAATAGATGGAAAATCTCAATCATCAGCCAGGCCATCGTTCAGATGGATATTAAAGGTAATCGAGCTTAATTTCATCAAGCCTGTTTATTGATATTGTTTTTTATAGATTTTTTTTGTTTTGTTTTTATAAGGCCATAGTATGATTATTGTGATTGTTGTCTTCTGTGATTTGTTTGTATTTCTTCACCTTGCTGCAGAATTTCCCTATGGGGACAATAAAGTGATGATGATGATGATGATGATGATGATGATGATGATGATGATGATGATACTACAGTATATTTTTTAGCTCAACATAGCACACTTCTTATCACCATAAACTTTAGGTCTACTTTAAAAAAAAAACAGCTTACTTACCGAAAATGTGGCCCACCCCATGGCCCTCGTCCTGGTCCATCCCACATGATGCCTAAAATACAAGGATCCGTTTCAAACAAAGCAGGTATGGTTGCGACTTCGGCCTCGTGGCTGTCAAATGACTTTGACATGCTGACTCTAAATTACAGTAATTCGGAGTATTCAAGCATTTACCACATAAACAAGTAATTTATTTAAGGTCACTGCGACGCTTGGTGCTACAGTAGCCCACTGTGTAGGCCTTCATCTACGCCACGGGAAAAAAATATATATAAAATATGTAATAGCTGGATACGTCTTCACTCACAGAAGGTTTTCAACAAAACAGTAACATAATGGTGGTTTTGAATGGAATAAGCATCCCTACTGTGAGCCTAGATCAATAAATAAATAATACAAGTGACGCTGTTGTTAGCAAAAACAGTCTCTCTAAGATTACTTGCTGCCACAAACAAAGCGTCTTTCGTTGGCTTTTAAGATTTTTGAATATTTCCCCTATATTTGTGTGAAAATAAACCCACCTTGATTATTTTATAGCTCAATATTAAATTGAGCACAATGATCGGGACCTCGTCTATGCAGCGACTGCATAAAAATGGAGGCTGACGTTCTTCTTCTGTCACTGCGGAGGCGACGGAGCTGCTTCCTCTTTCTTTGTAAACAGCAGCAAGAAATCTGATTTAATGGCGCGCTTCTGCCACCTACTGGACTGGAAGGTTAACCAAAGGATTTTATTTTATTTTATTTTATTTTATTTTATTTTATTTTATTTTATTTTAAGAAATGGTCTCTTTTTCTTGCCTTCCAAATACACAAAAAAATGTATATCCACTTTTGTTCATTTGTAAACACAAGATTTTTCTTCTGATGCAGATAATTTTCACCCTCCAACCCAATGCCTACCTAATTCTTGCCTTTTTAATATTTTTTAAAGCACATACATGTCTTCCCTTGTTTTATTGCATCACATTTATTGATTCATTTAACATAATATGTCATTTTCTACTTTATGCCTGCACAGGCCTTTGCAAAAAAACTAAACTTTGTGTTCTGTTTTTTAAATAACTGTATTTTGTGTACCATCAGTCAGAAAAAAGTCATTTGTAGCAATTTTGATATTGCTAATTTTATTTGTCCACAAGCAGTGTAGCAACCTGTCAGCTCAGCTAAATGTTGCTTAATACACAAACAATAAAAAATACACGTGTACACACACAATGTAAATATACATAGTCGTACAGTATATAGACTCTACAATAAACTCTTAATTTATTAATTACAGGTTACAACACAGCAACAGCTAAAAACTTCACATCGCACGGAACATTCACACATGTATTTTTTTAAATGAAGTTTCAAAGAAGACAGAATACAAGAATCGATACATCAGCTGAGGACCCCCAGAACAGAAGAGTTAATAAAACAGCTAAAACAGGTGTGTGGTTTAATTAAGCATTTTAAATTAAGTTTAGAAACATGGCTGCAACAAATGTTAAGGCACTTTAACTTAAAAATGGCTGTCTTGTTGCCTTAAAATTCTAAGTTGCTCAAAGTTGTAGCTACTTTTCTAAACCTGTAAATATCTATTGTGTGGAATAYATTACTTACAGAATCCTTATTAACAATAACAAAAAAAATTATATTCCAATCCAAAATATGCACATGATAAGATTGTCATTTTGCGTTGCTATAATTTATTTTGGAGCAAAGATTTAACTCAAGTGTGCTCAAAAGATCATAATATTTATTTATTTATTTTACATTTAAATAAACAGTAATATAATAAAACTAGCCTCTTTTTTTCAACTCATAATTTTAAGTCACAAGAGATAAAACATAAACTTCTATATTCTAAAGCTAAAAAGTAGCAATTTGTTGAGGAAAAATACGTCTATGTACAATGAGGCAATGGATGATAAATGTAAATGTCACAAAATTACACAAATGAGCAAGAAATTATCCGATATCTTTTCTTACAGTTTTCGTGGAATAGGAAAATCACAAAAATAAGCTACTTTGCAGCAAGCTTTAAAGTGACCTGTACATAAAATAATGAGAGAGAGAGAGAGAGAGAGAGAGAGAGAGAGAGAGAGAGAGAGAGAGAGAGAGAGAACACCGTTAATTGATCTGTAGCAAAAGATGAAAGGTTTGGTACTGTAAAATAATTCTTCAAACTGAGATAGTTGGGCAGCACAGACACAAAATCATGGTGCCAAATGTATTTRCTGTACATGTGCTTGTTGGGTGTCATGGGTCCTGTTTATGATCGGTGCCTATTCGTTTCTTGGTGGCATCATTTGAGACGCGTCACCGTTGCACCTCGCCTGCTGCTGCTGCTGCTGCTGGTCCTGCTGGTCCTGCTGGTCCTGCTGGGCTTCAGCTGGCACAGAGGGTTCGGAGATGGCTGCAGTCTGTGTGTCAGAAGCCTTTTCCTTAAGAGCGGCCTTTAGGGCTGCAGCCATGCTGATGCTTCCACCGGCAGGCGCAGCAGGAGCACCGCCGGGTGTGTTGGGGTCACCTGGGGCCCCGGCCGACGCGCCGGCAGCATCGCCCTGATCAGATGCTCGAAGCCTTTTCATCAGTGTGGTGACCCTCACTGCTTTCTATGAGGAATAAAAACAACAAGAAAACTTCGATGAAGTTCTGTAACTTATTCTCTTTTAGAGAAATCAACACTGAAGTACATCTCTGAGTAAAGTTTAATTGTTATTGTTACTGCATAATAAGAATGGTGGCTAATAGGTGTAGAAATATTGATAATGAATTTCACGTGTTAGTATTATTACCTTCCATTTGGCTTTGGCAAAGTTCTTTTCAATCTGCGCACAAACCCCATCCTTGATATTCTTATCTGAGGCAGCATTTCCAGAAATCCTGAAAACAGGAACAAAAGAACAAWTTTCTTTTGCATATTTTAACTCAGTAAGCCTAGTAATTAAAAAAACATGTTAGTGAAGACTTTTTTATTTTATTTTATTTTATTTTTATAATTTTAGCTGTTCCCATTGTTCAAATTTTCTTCTTTTATTACCATTCATGGGCAATAGCTTCCTGTGCAGTCAAACGTTGATCTTGGTCAACATCCATCAAAGACGCCACTAAGTTCTTGGCTGTAAAATACAAAAAAATGGTATATATGTATTTATGTGTGTATACATATATGTATGTTTCTTAATATTTAGAATTTTTATAAAATACCTCTGACAGAGCTCATGCAGACACATATACAGTACACCCAAGACAGTATTTATCTCTTACCAGAGTCTGAGATATCGTCCCAATATGGGGAATCAAACTCATAATCCCCAGACAAAATCTTTAGGAAAAGGTTCTTATCCCGGTTATCAGGGTCCTCCTCATCAGAGTCATCATAGAAAGGAGGGTTCCCAGATAAACTGTGAGGAAAACAACCCTCAATGAGTCTCTTCTGTCAGATAATCGTTCTAATAGACTTTAGAATCAGTCGGCGAGAACTTACAGTATATACATGATGACACCAATGGCCCAGCAGTCCACAGGTCTCCCATACCTCTGCCTTCCAACCATCTCTGGAGCTAAAAGCAAAGTAAATATTCTGATGAGTTGTATGAAAGACACTGAATGATTATAGTGTTTTTTCCACTCAAGAACAACAACAACAGCTAAAGTAATAATAATAATAATTGCCAGTTAAAATTGACTAACCGAGGTATTCAGGCGTTCCACACGGATTCCTAATGAGTCCATTTTCCAGTTTTGCCAGCTGGAAGTCACTGATAACAATTTTGGAGTTCTTCAAACGGTTATAGTACACCAAGTTCTCCAGCTGTAAGGAACAAACAAGCAGCAAAGTACAATATTTTTATTTTTGAAAACTGATTAGATGTTCTGTTTGACTCCTGAAAATTATTTAAATTTGTTTGGTGTGTGAGGAAGACGGAACAGACCGAGCAGCAGAGTAACAGACTGAAATGTCTGCGCGCTGTTAAAGTTGTTTTGAAGATTTTTACTGCTGCATTGTGATGACTTTAGGTCTTTATCAGGCAAATGTTTTTGAACAATTACATTCCAGTAATGGATTAGGAAGTGGTTGTGAGTGTCTGACCAATAAGATCCAAACATTATAGGGATGTACAAGCTGTATATCATTACAGCTATAGGCTAATTTACAGGAATAAAAAGAGGACCGGTCATACAGTAGCTTTCGAAAATGCAACCTGCAACAGACGTTACACAGCAGTTGTTTATACGCTCCCCTTTAAACACAAACTCAAGTTTTTCTAGAATAAAATTAATACACATCAAGAAATGCAACTATTATCCATAAAGCATCATGACCACCATATACCTACGTATATGGCCAGTGGTGGGCACAGTTCCCTTAAAGCACTAAAGCACTAATAGGGGAACTGATCTCCTGATTAGTGCTTTAGGGCTTTTGCTAATTTTAAAATGTATTAGTGGATTAGCACTTGCTGAATTTATAAGCTAAATTTAGAAGCACTGAGGTCTATAAATGTTATTGATGTATGTTAATGTTAACAGCTGAGGGTGAAAGCTGTCACTCATTATGACTCCCGCACGCGAAGTGTGAGCGGGAGTCATATTGTTTTCGTACTGTTTATTTATTTATTTATTTATTTATTTATTTATTTATTTATTTATTTTCTCCAGAGATTTGTGGTCAACCGTAGCACAAAAACAGCTGCACCGGTTAACATGAAATTTGGCAGGACTGTAGATGAGTCTGACCTACACGGCACCAGCCAACGGTTTTACAATAGACCCCAT